TCCTGCTAGAATGTAACATTTAGTAATATTAGTGTATAGTATCTTTAAAGCATCCATACCTTGTTGTCCTCCCAATAAAGTGCAAAACATTCATCTCCAGGTTTCCACATTTTTGCATACTCCATAGGAATAGATGATTCTAGTATTTTTTCTGGCTTAATTGGCCCAGTTCTTCTTTTGGGCCCACTACTGTAAAATATTTTATCATCATAGGGTATAGTTGTGACAGGTCCTGCTGGCTTAATAGGTCCTATTCGTCTTCCTTTCAGTGGCATTTCTACTTCTCCATTTGGAACACCAATGAAACTATTACTTCGAACTGGATTCTGATTATCAGTATTTACATTAAAATGTTTTTCAATTTTTATACCACTGAAAGCTTCATTATTTATTGTATGTGATTTCCTGTCATAAAAATAATCAGAAATAGATGTTTGGTTTTCTCTTTTTCCACGTTTTTGATTATTATAATCTACACATTCTTGAGGAAGTGGATTTTCTTTTGCCTCTGCAAAGCAAGGACCTTTTCCTGATCTGCTTTGCATAGAGTTATCTCTTTTTTTAAAAGCACCATCACTATGCTGAGAACCTAAAGGATATGAAGTATCTTTAGTTCTGTCATATCTAGAATACGGTCTATCACATTTGATTCTGTCTTCGGCCCATACTTCAGATGCTGAAGAAGTACTTGGTCTTTCAGAACCTCTATTTCGAGGTAATCCACTGCCTTCTAAAACTGACTTTGAATTTTGGGAGTCTCTTTGAAAACGAGGCGGTTTTTCATTTCTTGGCTGCCTGGTATCATTTCTAGGAGGATGTCTCAGATGATTATTATCTTTTACTCCATTTTGCTCAGTATTTGACGATCTGTATTGTCCCTGATGAAGCTGCTGTGGCTGTGATTTAGGGTCTGAAAGGTAAAAGTATACCATATGCAAATTAAGATGAAGACTCTGCATTAATAATTATTTCAAAATGCTTTATTCTATTAATACAAAATTATCAAACTACTATTCTAAAATCTTCTTCCATCTTCCTACATCATTATCTTACTCCTTCTCTGCTTCCTTGGAGTCCTGCATTTCTAATGTACAGTTTTCTTAGTCAGCAACATTAATAAAGTAAAGTAGTAAAATGGACTACAGAAAAATGGTGGATAATCCAAATTCTTATAATATAGCTACCTACATATGCTATTCTGGTAAATCATCTCCTAAAACATTAATGAAACAGATCTGCAAATTGCTAACTCAGAAACGGCTATGAAACTGCACAAGTACAACCCTGATCAACTCCTTCTGAATGCCACTCTAATTTAGAAATATATAGCTATTATTATCAGTCATGTTCTAGCCTTAGCAAAAATGTTTCTTTTCAAATCTTTCTGGATCTGGGAATTGCTACGTGTTTATGTTACAAACAGATATCCTACTATAAAAAAAGAGTTTATGTTACACATAGATATCCTACTATACAAAAGAGTTAATTTTCTTGATCTGTCAAAGTAATTAAGAGTAGGGACTACTTGGAAATACAGAAAAGTGTCAAAAGTGGAAATACCAAAAAAGTGTCAGAAACATTACTAAGCATAACAGTGCCTATAATGTCCAAGAAGTAACATGATAAATATATATAGATAATTTTTGATGGCTATATTTCACATAGTGATTTCTATTCTGTTTCAGTTTGTACCATGTCACTTATACTTTCTTCCTCCATAATTTCACTTAGCATGTCTATAACACGATTACCAAACATACCAAACATACTCATTAGTCTCTGGTGTATGTGTCTTGTTTCTCTCATCATACATAATCAACATGCAGCTGTAATTATTCTTATATTTCCCCAGGGTTACAACTTTTCCAATGAGAGCCTCCACTGACATCTTGGGTGAGACTGTTTCCTCTGTTGCAAGGAAATTAACTACAAGAAAATTAACTTCATTGACCTACAGATACAAAATGCCAAAAGGACCCTCCCCCAGCATCCCCAGGCATGCTGACTGTCAAAACTTTCCCCAAAACATTTCCAAACAGCCACCGGAGGCCAAAAGGTATCTGGTAGATTGTTTAAAACAACAGGAATAAACGTTTAAAGGTTACTGAGTGACAAAACAGGTCACGATTAAAGATCAAAGCTCAAAGTGGTCAGGTCAGGCATGGTGGCTCACACCTGTAATCCAAGCACTTTGGAAGGCTGAGGCAGGTGTATCGCTTGAGGCCAGGAGTTTGAGACCACCCTGGGCAACATGGCAAAACCCTGTCTCTACTAAAAATACAAAAATTAACCAGGTGTGGTGGTGCACACCTGCAATCCCAGCTACCCAGGAAGCTGAGGCA